TACCACTTCACGCTTTGCTCACCAACCTCCGTGATTACTTCATAATAATTTTTGTTTATTGACGATAAATACTATATCTTTATGTAACATCAAAAGTTTCTTTATACTATTAAAAGGTTCTAAAAATCATGCAAATTTTTGCATCAACTGAACACATTAGAACTTAAAAATTATTATGAAAATAAATGTTATTTATTAGAAAATTAATTATAACTTATTTACCATGTACTAATTGTAGAATTGTAACTAAATATGTTTATCATAAAATGTTAAATTAAAATGGTACTATCACGCTATTACTTTATAAAGTAGGAAAAATGCTCTCAGTTTTAAGAATTTGATTTTGCGTCAGTGATGTTTGCTTACTACTATTAATTAGCTAGCACAATTATTAAAAAAAGGAGATTATTATGTACGTTCTGAAAAATTTAATTATTTTTTCTTTGTTATGTCAGATAAACTCAATGATTAACGTGAGCGTGGTAGCTTCGGTGAACTATGTCATCAAATTAGTATTCCTTCGGCAATTTGAAACAAAGAATTTATTTCTGTATACAATTATGCTTTTAAAGTGTTTCTCTATAAAACTAAATAATTTAAAATCAACGGTGTTTGAAATAAAAATATTTAATTATTAATTCGTTCTGAAAAATGTAATTATTTTTTCTTTGTTATGTCAGATAAACTCAATGATTAAAGTGAGCGTAGTAGCATAGGTGAATTACATCATCAAATTAGTATTCCTTAGGTAATTTGAAACCAAGAATTTATTTTTGCATATAATTAAACTTTTAAAGTGTTTCGCTATAAAACTAAATAATTGAAAATCAACGGTGTTCGAAATAAAAAAAAATACGTTCCAAACTGAAAAGCAAAATTTCTGAAGAATTAAAGTTAAATCTTTTAGGAGAAAAGTAAAAAATCACTATACAAATATGGACGCTAATAGTGCTTGATTAATTTTGTTTAAAAAGTACTAAATGAAATTTAAAAAAAATGATAAACTAAGTTACTAAAATGAATAATTAATGAAGAAATGACGCTCATTCGCTTAGAAAGAAAGCAAAAACTCGCTATGCTATTTTTGTCTCCAATAGTGATTAATTAATTTTGCATACAGTTTCTATAACTGAAACAAAACAAAAAAAAACTATGTACTTAATAGCAAAATTAAGAGAGAATTGGCACTAATTCATGTAGGAGAAAAGTAAAAGACCACCATACTTTTATTGAAGCTCAAAATGCTTATTTAGTTTTGGTAATGGGTACTAATTATAATAAAACTGTTAGCTATGTTCTAAGAAGTAACAATAATACAAAAATGGTTCTAATTCATTTAGGTAGATTAAAAAATTGACATGGTATCATTGAAGTCATAATGCTTAATTAGTTTTGGTAATGGGTACTTATTTCAATAAAAAATAGGCTTTGTAAAGAAAAACAAAATTAATAGTGATATGGTTATGGAGGAACAAAAAGAAATCGGCATACTATTTTTGATCTCTATGGTGCTTAATTAATTTCGGTAATAGGTACTTTTGGTATTAAGGTAATTGGTACAATTTTAGTCAGTACCAGTTTTACTAATGGAGGTCAAATTAGTATATTTAGCAATTAGTATATTAGTATAGCAAATTAGTATATTAGTATATTAGTATAGCAAATTAGTATATTAGTATATTAGTATATTTATACTATTGATACAGCATTTATGCTGTGCAGTTTTAATACAAATATTGTGGAAGGAGGTGTTTTACGGTCATTCGAAAATGATACGTATCAGAGAAATTCATTTAATTGTGGTAAATTTTGAACATCATGAGTTGGCCTCGAGCAATAACATCATTCCAACCAAAAGATATTGAATACAGTTAATTATTATTTTGATGGGACGAATTACTAAAAACTTGTCTTCTGAAACCTTCAACGTAACACCGGCAAGGACAAAAATACTGATAAAAAAAAAAATAATTTTTTCAGCTATATTAACTGTGTTAGTATGTGTCTTTCAATTATGTGCATGATTTTATAAGGTTGCGTAGCACTTATTTACTGATAGTTTAATTTTAGAAATTAAACCAGATTAAGTATAATCATGATTTAAACTTATATACCTTGCTTACTTAATAGCGATATTTCATTATTTATTAAAAAACATACTCATATGATATGAACAAAACATAGTTAAACTAGAAATAAAGTAAACATAAATCTCACCCAATTTGCATCGGATTCAATATCTCAATTCCATGAGTTCAATTATACATTGACCTATTTCAGCTTCTAACCCACTCTGTGCTAAAAAAAATCATTAAGTTTGATATTACTTAATAATGTAGGATTTATTTTATAATAATTAGCATTCTTTTATAAAAATTCATTGAGAATAACAAATTTGCATGTAAGTAAACTTGTAATCGCATCTCATAGTCTCTTGATAATTGAGTAATTTAAAAATTTCAGTGGCGGATGAATTTCGAAACTGAAATAAAAAAGTGTAGGCTGCAATTGTTCCACAGAAATCACTTTTTAAACATTAATATACATTAATTGAATATTACAATAAGCTTTCCCTGTATATTCTTTAATTCTGTAGTTTTGAAAATTTTAAAGAACATTGAAAAGTAAAAAGATTTATCTGTACAGTTGAAAATTAAAGCTTTAAAGTGCAATAAATATTTTAAAACATCATGTTCAACTTCTGAATGAAATAAATTTTGATTATCTGTTCAAATTATCTTAAGTTCAAGAATTAGAAATTTTCTTGCCATGCGCAAATCGATACACCCAACTGCTAATGTAACTGAATAGCAAGCAATTTGCAAGGGAAGACTAAATTAAAATAATAACATTGAAATATGAAATTATTAAATAATATAATAAAATTATTAAATAATATGATTAAGTGAAATTTTAAATTAAAAATAATGAAATTATTTTTAATTTAATTATATTGTTGTTGTTGTTTCTAATCCCCAAGAGGTTCATTCCAATTAGACCAAATCCATAAGTCCAAAAATGTTCAGAAAGTCTAAAAACAGATGAAGTTTTGAAAAAACCTCGTCGATCTTAAAAACGATGCAGTTTAGAATATGCTCGGACGAAGCCTGAGCAGTCCTACATTTAGTGCAAAGTCCAAAAGTCTTTTGCCCCTGAACATACGAGAGACACCTCAAGTGATCACTTGCAAAGCGAGACAAACAAGTCTGCTGGCTTCTAGGTCCCTCAAAAAGCAAGGCACTTCCAGGTCGTTTTCTGAAATGCCAACTATGCGGAAGAGGAACCCTCCAGAGATCCATAAAAAAAATTTTTTTCACTCTTCAAAGACCTCATTGAAAGTAGAAGATAAATCTGGCTGTAAGGGTTCCAAAGAAGCATCTTTAGCCAGTGAGTCCGCCATCTCGTTGCCTTTGATTCCAACTTGTGATGGAATCCATTGGAAGTGTACCCCAAAGTCCGCTGAGAGCCTGAAGAGCATCCCCAAAATTGAAGCCGCAGTCCTGTCTCCAACATTCATCCAGTTGCTAAGGTTGTTGGATTGAAGATTTGCTATCCGTCAGTATCCATATATGCTTAAAGTCAGGCTCAGCAATATTCTCAACATCTCTCTGGAGCTAAATCAGTCTTCTACCTTTGGTGCTCCAGGTCACTTTCGGCCAACAGAAGCTGTAACTCTTTCCCCTGTACCCCCCCTGTGCAATTTAATTATTAAAAATTATTAAAATAATTAAATCAAAATAATTAAATTATTGACATAATAAAAGGGAAGACTGTTATTTTCAAAGTATGGTAAATCATTTTCAAGAATGGTCAAAAATCATCAAAAACTTGGAAAGGTTGACTCAGCCTTTTATCCCTTCAGTAGGTCGATAAATGAGTGCCAAGCATGCTTGGGAACTAAACAATGTGGGTTCGGCGTTTGGCTGACTACCTGACCGGAACATCTGTTGCTGCACCTCAGAGTGCAAGGTCAAGAAAACCGAGATTGGCACAGTAGGCCTTGGCCCTCTATGGGCTGTTGAGCCACTGAGTTAAGTTAGTTAGCAATGAAAAAAAAGGGGGGGGGAACTACTTTATGTTAGCTATTTTCTTTTGATTGATTTATAATGATTCAAATTCCTCTTTTGCTCTGACCGAGCTAAATTATAATTTCACAGATTTAACTAAATAATTTTTAATTTTCTCATTTAAATGTAAGCTTACGACTTAAAATATGTAAGTTTTTTGAACTTCGTGTTTTTACAGAGATTCAACGAAGTATAGTAATGGTGGTGATTACGCAAGAAAGCTTCAAAAACTAGTTTATATACAGTGCGAGGCTAAAAAGTGTTTTAAGAAAAGCGTAATCATTTTAACTTCTTTTTTCAAACTGATTTTTGCGAATCTAAATATCTCTTTTGTTCTGATAGACTGTAATATTGATTTGTTTGATTAAATTCATGCATTTTTTTTTCTTTTTTGATTGTAAATTTGTGCAATACTGATTTACACCCAATATATTTGTGCAATACTGATTTACCCCCAATATATTTGTGGAATACTGATGAATACCCAATATATGATTACTTAAACAAAATGCTAGTATTCATTGCGTAAGCTTTTTAACTTCCTTTTCTACAAAAGTTCCAAATAGACAGAGCAAAGAAGGTATTTTATGAAACAATCTCGAAAGGTTTCAGCTATTAATGACAAGAGGTGATCGTTATTTATAAATTAAAAATGTCTCTTTTTTATATACAAGTCATTTTTATTAGTTTATTAAATCAATCAAATAACGTATTTTGTTTTAAAATATGTGACTAACAATATCAAGGTTATTAAAAACTTCTTTTAATTAAGACTTAAAAATGTGTAATTGCAAGGGAAAAAATGCAAAGAAAAGAAAGAAAGAAAAGCAAATCTGAATTTTTATGGTTATTTAACTTTTCTTATCTTTTTTCTTATCTGAACTCAAAATTCTTTAATAAATATTTACGAATTTCATTTATTTTCTCCTCCAGGTAGTTATCCAGATCAAAATGAAGTGAATCAAATGAAATGGAATCGAAATGAAGATGATTTCAAAATTCTACTTGCAGAAGCTTTGAGTTATCTCCAAAATCTCAAGAAAGTGGCTTTGGATTAAATGATTTGACAGTAATTTTTAATTGAATTCTACATATTACATAGATGCAATTTCTGTAAAAATTACATTAATGAATTCTTTTTTTTAAGCAAATCATATATAAAACTGTATAAAAATGATATATGTTTTGTTATCTCATAAAATAAATATGTAATGCATTTAAAAGCCCAATATATACATCAAATAGGCAACTAAACTCATGGTATTGACATTGTAATACATTGAATCATCACTGTGACAAATCAAAAAAATATTGCAGCACACCAAATTGATACCATAAGACATCAAATTTGCATAACTATTCTTAAAACACCTGTTCATTTATAAATGAATTTAAAATTGCTTTTACCTCTTGAAAATTTCGAAAGCATATCTGAAACAGAAAGTAAGAAGAGCATATAAGAGTACTCTCTGACACTCGCGAAATCACTAAAAGCAATCTCACACTGTAAAAAAAGTCTCAAAACGTTTTTGAATATATATGGGACAGCTACGGTGCATGAAGTTTTCATGCACCGTTTCTGAATAATTCAGAAACCTCTTTCTGAAATATTCAGAAGCCTTTAGAAAAATATTTTTAATCAATTCTCGCAGTATCAATTTTTTTTTCTAATGATTTTAAGCGTTTCTTAATATATTAGAAACTTTTTGTGACCAACAATGTCAACCGCCTCCTATCAAAAGGTACATCAAGATAGAATCGAGTTAAGATGCCTTATATACTAGTGAATTAAAATTTAATAGTTGTAGTGGTAGCTAAGCTATACTCTCAAACTGAATCGGCGTAAATGCAAATCAGTTTCCTACGTTTGAAAATAAAAGAAATATTTCTCAATTGATCAGAAACATGATACTAAATTAAGTTCTCATAGATTTTTGTAGAGTTATAGTTAGTTTCTGAAAATTTTTACAGTGCACTGAGACAATACCATTACATATCAAATCGATAATATAACACATCAAAATTTGATGTTATAACGCATTAAATCTGTATAAATATTCTAAAAATTTTTTATATTTAATTATAAATTATTTTAAAGTGGCTTTAATCTCCGAAGAATTACAGAAACATATATGAAATAGAATATGCTAGCGTATAAGTGTACTGTCTGGCAATCACTAAATGAAATCCCAACGTAACTGAAAGTAACGTAACTGAGAATCACTTAGTGATTAACTGACATTTTTTCACCGTTTTCAAAAATCTTGTAAGAGAGAATTTTAGAAAACTGTTTCAGTAAAGTGTGTTATCGTAACTTTTAGTTCTTTTAACAGATTTTTTTTAACATTTTATTATTATTTAGAGTTAAATCTTTGTTTCATTTTAAAGGCAAAAAGTTAAAAAGTTAGATATTAGATGTAAACACATTCAAAAAGAAAAAAGAAAAACTTTTATGGAGGGTTTAAAGTCACTCCTTGCGTTGCGGTAACGTCAAAATATTTTTTCAACTGAAACATTTTTCCTTCAAATATTTCTATATATTTTTAACATTATCATGAAGACAAAATTTACTGGTGCCTTTCATATAAATATTTTTACTTCTTTTCTATATCGTTGATTCTACAGTTTGAAATCCAGGAAATGTTTCGAGTACAAAAAGGCAAATGAATAGAAAATGTGTTAATATATTTTAAAAATAAAATTTCTAATAGACATGGTAAATAATGTGAAAATAAAAATAGAAATAAAAATTATTGGAGTTTTTAGCAAAAATTTTTTCGAGGAGTATTTTTACTCAAATTTAAAAGAAACAAATTATTAATCAAATAAATACTTCGCCTTAAAACATATCTTAAATAAAAATTTAAAAAATAATGAACCGTCTAAATGTAATGAACTAACACGCAAACTGTATATTTCTATTTTATCAAAAACTTGAATCTACTTTTTATTATATTGCTTTCTAAAGAAAGAACTATAAGTGAAAAGTTAATATTATATATAAAAGTTAATAAAAATACATATACAGAGGCACAGAAGTCAAAATTAAGAATGAGTTATAAGTATTAAATTAGATTTATCTCCATTTCTATTATAAAAATTCACAAAAAAACCCTCACAGTTATTTTACTAGTTTACTGTGACCAAAAAGATTTTTGGAAGCAAAAATGAAATTTTACGACAATTTTAAACAAAGAATGAAAGTATGGAAATGTTTTTAAATGAATGCATGACATTGATTAATAAATTTTGGAAGGTAAAAAAATTTACGCTGTGTACGAATGGGAATTTTAGTTTAAAATAATATACTTTTTATATTTTTTGAATGAACTAAAAATTAGAGAAATTTTAAATGTAACATTATTTTTATGACAATATAAATAATGTTTCTTTAAAAAGCTTAATCAAGAAAAATTTTTAAAACTTCAAAATGTAATATTTGAATTAAGTGTTGAAATTTTGAAAAGAAAATTAAATTCTACTTTTATGTTATAAATACATAAAACGCTTTTACGATTTTTCACAATAATACTTAAAAAAAATTCTTCCAACCAATAAAGCGAACACGAATTTTGCATAACTTTATAAAACTTTGATTTTTAAATACATTAAGTCCATGTATTTGAAAAAGAAAGAAAGGAAACGAAAAAAAGAAAGAAAGAATACATAAATATCTCTTTTCTCCTTCTTTTAAATAAACTATTTTCAGAAAGTAAATTACTGTGATGAGATAGACAATTAGCAAAATCGTTGCCAATACATTTTACTTAACATCATTCTTGAATATTTTGGCATCTTTAGAGGCATTTCACGTCTTAGAAAGGAAAAGAAATATTATCAAATTTCCAAAATTAATGAGGCATAAAGACAACATTACAAGCGAGTGGTGACAGGGGCCCTGGGCGTATCCAGTCACGCTGTGAACCTTGTCACCAAAAGTATTAACATGAATCATAATCCAATTGAATAGCTCGAATCATTCACCAAAACGGCGTAAAACTAAGTTGGCGTGGCTTTGGCGAGTCCCAAAAAAATAGGATGTAAAATCATTCAACACAGGAAGGGGTCTGAGCATTTGACATCAATTAATACTCGAACGACGTGGTATGATTATGAGGGACGTCATTAAATTTTGCCGTGACACGCAATGGATGTGGTCACTGTTCATCACCTGTGACGTTCACCTGAACCGACCCATCAGGTGGTCCTCTGATCAACATTCTATTTTATAGCCAAATAATTCGAATATTTTGTCATCGTTGGTGTTTACGATCCATTTGGACAGAGCATAAAAGGCATGATGGGTGTTTAAAGTCTCTTTGTTATTTTCTCTTCCTCTTCAAATCTTGGATAACTTGTTCCTGGTCTTAGGTTTGCTTTTTGCACCGTCTACAGGAACACTGTAAGTTGCATTGTAAATCACGGGACGTAAAATTCGTTTATGGGTTCTTAAAACTTCGAGGCACTTGTTCATGAGTCTTGGAGAAGATTATTACCACTTACGGGTGATATGAATCTTTGGGAATGGATGGTAAATTTAACTTGTTATCTCTACAAAAAGCCTCAAATTATTACAAATTTATTCATCTCAAATATAGATTTAGGTCCATAAAAGGAAAATAAATTTCGGATTGAGAGATCAATTCAATGAACTTACGACTTTTTCTTATTTCGTTTACAAATTAAGATTTTAAGAGTTTCTTTCTTAACTGTTAGAAATTTTGTAACTTGTTGAATTATCATTTAAATGCTTCAACCGTAATATAGTGAACTATATTAGTTGAACTAAATCATCATTCTTTATCATCAAGTTACCGATAATATTGTTCAAATTGAACTGAAACTTATTTTAATTCAGCACCTTAGTAAGTTTGCAGCAAATTTTCTACGCATCATGGTTCAAGCTATCAACAATATGGTTTAAGGTACCATTATGGTTCACCTTAAACTGAAACATAGTTTAATTCAACACCTTTTTAAGGTTGCAGCAAATTTACATTGCATCATGGTGAAAAGTACCTATAATAAGGTTATACTTGGACTGAAACATGGTTTAATTCAATAACTTAGCAAGGTTGCAGCAAATTTGTATCGTATTATGGTTCAAGGTACCAATAATAAGGTTAAACTTGAACTTAAACATGGTTTTATTGAACAACTTAGTAAGATTGCAGCAAATATGCATAATATTATAGTTCAAGGTATTAGAAATATTATTAAATATTGAACGAATAAATTGTCACATATTTTAAACAGAAGTCATTTGTCATACCGTAGAAATCACACCGTAATTACCACAAATATATACATTATTACAAATATATAAAAATCAATAAATTTCAAACAGACAGTCAGTAATTGTTTAAGAAAGAAAGAAATTTTACAATTGAAGGATATTACAATTTTTAAATGCGTAATTTTTTTTTTTGCAAATAAGATTTTTATAAATTAGTCACAGAGGTAAAATTTTCTATATAAGTTTTATTAACTTATAAAACAAATATTCAAAGCAGAGTTTTATTAAATTTATCTTTCTGATTTTAAAAATAATTTTCCAGGATACATCTTTAATAAAAATAATCCTTAGAAAATCTAATGATATTTAACCACCAAAATTACTTCATAGGAATACTTTTAATTTCTTGTTACTACTGAAAGTACCTTTTTGCCTAAAATGCTGAAAACTTTTTTTAAAAAAAAAAGCGGATAGTGCGTTGTAATTTTTTCAGCTCACTTGAAATCATTTCATTATAAGAGACTATAAAATTTTTGATTCCCACGGTATTTTATAGGTAAAATTTAAATTTTTTTCTTGAAATTGTAATTTCTAAATTAATAATAAAATTGAAAGATTAAGTTAGAACCATGACTATTTTCAATAGACTGAAATATTCCGCAATTGAACATGCACTATTAAACATATCTTTCCAGTTATTCTTGCGATTCAGTTCGTTTTTTTACAATTACACCAATGGGAAAAAACAGAAGAAATTTCATCAAAAATACAAATATCATGAATAAAAGATTTTTCAACAAAATAAGA